CAAAACAAACCCACATTTATTACCATCTAGTTGGTTCCAACTCATGGCAACCCTACAGGATAGAACAGAATTGCTCCAAGAATCAGACTGCCAACGTTTATTCCAAGAAGTGGGTGACCTAGTAGATTGGAACTACTAATGCTCCTGTTAGGAGGTGAGCACTTAATCACTACAACATCAGAAAATTCGGTGGCTCAAGTCCACTAAAAGACACCTCAGAGGTAAGTCCTATTGATATGTTTCCAACAAGTTACAGCCTTAAACATCCTATTGGGTCATTCTGTTAACACATCTGGGATTGCTATGAATCCTTCAGAATATGCTAGTGTTTTCTAATTTGGTACTCAAGTTCAATCAGTGTTTTCACTTATAATGATCTTGATCTTAGGTGCCATGAAAAGAAAGGTAGGCCCTGCATAGGAAGGAAGGGTGCGGAGTGGGAAAACGAGTCAAATGAAAAAGAAGATCAGTTATATGGAATCACTTTATACCCTGCAGACATAAGAAATTGTACTCCAAATGAACCATTTGTGAAAACAATCAGTAACTTGAATGTGCACGTAGATTTACTTTCTGGGTGGTCCAAGGACTTAAGAGGCTTCTTAGTACCTACTTGCAATAGAAAGGAACATGTGAATTTCACATTTCATTCTGTTGAATGATTGGGTCAGATATGAATCATGTTTGGGACAGCCTTGCCACCTCCCCTTCCTATGACCCTCATTTCAGATCCTCAGTTAACCATACAAAACTCTAGAAATTGCTTTCTCACAAGTTGTATGTATCACAACCAGTTCTTAAATTTAATTTTAGGATGTTTAGTGTCAGGTTTAACTGACTTTATTCCATTACAGCTGGGGAAAGATGGAAGTTGCCAATAATTTGATTTCACTTGGCCTCACAATCAACACTCATTGTAGCAGCAGTCAAGAATTCAAAAGATGTATTGCATTGGACCAATCATCCATCAAAGACCTTTTAAGGAGTTAAAGAGCAAGAATGTCTGTTTAAGGACTAAGGTGTGTTTAACTCAAGCCATAATATTTTCAATTGCTTCATATGGATATTAAAGTAGGACAATGAACAGGTAACACAGAAGCGGAATCAATGCCTTTGAATTGTTGTGCTGGCAAAGAGTATTGTATATATACCTTGGACTGCAAAAAGAACCAACACATCTGTTTTGGAGGAAGTGTAACCAGGGTGCTCCCTAAAGGCAAGAATGGCATAACTTCATCATATAACTTGGACAGAGACAAAGACATGGATGGAGAAATCACAAGTAGACCAGAGTATTGCAGCCTGTGGTTGAGAGGAGGGAAGGGACAGAGAAGGAACAGGGAGCAAGGGAATAATGTTGGAAATGTGAGTTGGAGTACATGGTGAACAGTCATGAATGGTGCGCTAAAGACACAGATTTTATTTTCTATAAACTGCTGTGATCACTGAAGTGTTTTTGAAAGTAAAAGAGGAGTAACTAATTTTACATTTTTCATAGATATAAGAATATGTATGGTGAGTTAGAGTGGGGGACAGAAAGGAAAGGGAAATCTTGAGTAAGGAAGGAGAGGAAGAACTATAACAGAAAGGATCAGGGTCATAGGCACTAAAGGGAGAATCAACAGGATGGAGTGATGTGGATTTAGATGACACATAATGTCTGATTGGAAATACCTGCACACTAAGGGAAATCTTTGATTCTGGGCATTTATGAATGTGAGCCTTTCAGGCAGGTAGATTTGCCTTCAAATCTTGTCCCACTACTTGTGAGCTTTATAAATAGATGCAGGTCAATGAGTCATTTGAAGCTTCACTCTCCTTCTGTTCAAAAAAGGATAATAGTACTATTTTCATAGCATTATTGTGAGGTGAGTGAGTTATTGTATGTAAGGAGTTCCTGAATGGTGTGAATGAGTAATATACTCAGTTGCTAATTAAAAAACTGGAGATTTTGGTCCATGCAGGGGTGCTTTGGAAGAAAGGCCTGGTGATCTACTCCACCAAAGCCATCCACTGACAATCCTGTGGAGGATAGTTCTAAACACAAGGGGTTGCTATGAAACAGAATCAATTAGGCTGATTGTTTTATGTTTTCTATTGTTTGCTTGCTCATTTACTGCACATAAGGAACTCAGAATAGGGCATAAGAGGCAAAGGAGTATAATAACACAGCACACCTTCATATACAACCTTTTTAAAATAACACAGAAATTAGGTAAGTCCTAGAAGAATTCTACAATGGAGCCCTGGTGGCCTAGTGGCAAGAAACTGTACTACAATCCTGAAGGCATGCAGTTTGAGTCCTCAGAAGGATGGACAATCTCCTCATTCACTATTAACTGTCTCTGAAAATCCACCACAGAGTCAGCAATGGGTCAGTTGGAACACAACAACAACAACAATAATGTATTTTATAAGTGAATACTGTTGTTATTGGTATGTGCCATGGAGTTGTCTGCAACTCATAATGACCCTATGTACAATAACTCTGAACCCGTGCTCGCTTCGGCAGCACATATACTAAAAAAAAAAAAAACAACAAAAAAACTCTGAACCCTGCCCTATCCTGAGCCAGTCTCACTGTCTCTGACACATCTACCGTAATTCTCCCAGTTATCGTATCAGTCCATCTCATCCAGGGTCTTCCTCTCCTGGACTGTCCCTCCAACCATCCAAGCATCATGTCTTTCTCCAAGAATGGGTCCCTCCTGGCTATGTGCCTAAAGTATATGAGATGAAGCTTCAAAATCCTTGCCTCCAAGGAGCAGCCTGGTTTCACCCTCTCCCAAACAGGTCTGCTTGTTTTCTTGGCAGTCCATGGTATATTCAAGACTCTCCTCTAGCACCACTATTCAAAGACATGAATTATTCCTCTGCCATCCTTAGTCATTATTTAGCGCTCAGATGCATAGCAAGTAATTGCAAAGACCATGGCCTGGATCAGGTGCGCCTTTGTCTCTAGACTGACATCATTGCTCTTCAGCGCTTTGGAGTTGTCTCAGACAGCAGATTTTCCCAGTGTAATTTATGGTTTGATTTTTTGACTGCTGGTGCCAAGAATGTTAATTGGGGGGCCGAGCAAGCTGAAATATTAACAACTTCAATCTCTTCTCCATCATTCATTCATCAAGAATCTTCTAATTGATTTGAGGACACTTTGGATTCAAAAACATTTTGTTTATCTACTCTCTTTGAGTTAACCAATTAATTCAAGTGAAAAAACATAATCAAATTAAATAATCATACATAATCTTGCAGTATTGCTGAACTAAGTGTCAAAATGATAGAAATAAACTAGTTACAAATAAAAGACTAAAAAAGGAATTTCTGTTCCAAAGGAAAATTATCATTATATCTAATGTTTTACCTATAACTTTTTTAGTCCAACACTAAAGATGGAAGAGGATTGCTTAAAAGAAAGTGTTTATAATATTAACAACTTAAAATTTCAAACACATCATTGCTTAATTTCATTGCCATGTTACATGGTAATAGCAAGATATTTCTTTTATAAACCCTTAAAGGATCTTGTGACAAAATTATTTATTTCTTCAGGATTTAACATAAATATGATTTAGTCTTTGTTAAGATTCAAGGATTTATTTCATTTCATATAAACAAATGAAAGCTATACACCAGAAATTTTAGAGATATTTCTTAGCAGAGATAATGGAAAAGTATTTTCTTTGGTAAATCCATAAAAGGCATTGCCTGTCCAGATCACTGAAGCATTTTCTGCTTAATTAACCTAGGAACATTTTTAGCATTGTGTTATGCTTTCATGTCTCATTAAAAAAAATAGACATCAGGTAAGTTTATATGATTTGAAAAATGTAAAACAAAGCATAATATTTTCTATTCATATGCTGTATAATACAGCCTTTGAGATACTGTCTTTTAAAAATTATTTAGTGTTCTAAATATCCTAAATATGACTCATTAAAACAAAATTTAAAAGGCTATTCCTTTGTTCAAAAATCTGAATGAATAATTTTGTCAAGTATGTATTTAAAATATGGTATAAACAGTAAAGAAAGAAAATTAAGGTATATTAAAGGTATGATATGAAATTATAAGTATATAATTTTTAAAGTCTATTCTCTTAAATTAGGTTTTAAATTCTTTACATGTGATAAAGGAAATAATTTTCTATTAAGACAAACACTAATGCTAGATAAAAACTAACTATAGCAAATAAAGCTTTAGCCTTAATCCTAGAAATTTATTGACAAGACTTTGAGAGTTCACATTTGGTTCTTTCTTCCTTTCCTAATAAAATAGTACTCTTGAAAACACTAAGTAAGAAAACCTTGACTATGAAATTACTTTTAGAGTTATTAGGCTGGGAGGTTACTTTCCTCACGGCAAACTAAGCTATCTGACAACTTTTCTTTGTAGTTTTGAGTTATAGGTGATGATTCCTAAGCCAGGTTCCAAGCTTAGGAAAATATTTATTCAAAATGCCTGGAAACCCCGGATACACATTAGTAATATTTTCCTTTTCTGGACTGATATGACAGGCTCCAACTTGGCCAACCCAGGTTGTGCCCTATGAAAAGCTCTTCGCTGAAGCTCGCAAGAAAAACCTCTTAACTTGTGTTCAACTCCAAGAAATAAGCACCAGAGTCTGCCCTTCTGTCTCTCCCTTTGGAGCCCCATCTTTTGCCACTGAAGGGTGACGCACTGTGGAGGGCAGCCCTAACAGACTCTGTGAGTCCAGGGCAATAATACAGACACATTTCTCTCTCCTTCGAAAGTTACTGGAAACTGAACGGATGCAGGGACCTGTAGAGAAGACCATGTCAACTTTTTCAGCAGATCTGCATCCTTCAAACCTCAGTTAACTGGTTGCTTCTGCCACCGCCCTGGACCCATCACACTCACCACCTTGCTTGTCCCTCCAGCCTCACCTGCCACTTTCCACTCCTGGGGGACCCACCGAACCCCCTGCCACACCAGAGTCCCTGCCTGTCCTTAAACGCAAAAAGGGAGCTACATACCCTGGTGATGATCAGAGGCTGGTTGAAGTCTATACCTCCGGAGAGTCTGAATCCCCAGGGCGCAGGACCCGGGAGGACCACGTTCTGGGGCATGGTGGCTCAGCTGGAGCGCGTCGGCTCCTAAGAACGTGGGGTTCAACGAGGGGCGGCCTGTGCACGACCAGTGTCCCGAGCCTGGCAGCCCACTGCGCTCGCTGGGCAGTGTCCTCACCCTGACTGTGGCCGGGAGCTTTATCCTCGCTCGGGAGTGACGTCAGGAGCCCGGTCCTCCCCTCCCCCTCCCACCTCGGAGAGCTCCAACTTTGGAAGTGAGACCCGCTCAGGCTCGCGCCAGGGGTGCAGCCTCCCCACTGGCCGCCGCAGCGGGACGCTTCGGGTTACAACTTCCACCGCTTGTTAAAAGTTACACCTGTCCTCCCCCCTCCCGTTTACCTTCTGCTTGAAGCTCAGCGGGTGCATTTACTGTGCAGTGAAAAGCAGTTAAATCACAAGTGACCTGGTGGCTAAGGAATTGAGCTGGCAAGTCAGGGGCGGGTGGTTTGAATCTACCAGCTGACAGGAGAAAAGTTGGGCAATCTATTTCTATGCGATTTATAGCCTCTGAAAACCCACGAGAGGGCCAGCTATGACTTGGTTCTAATTCCACAGCAATGAGTGAGTATAGTTGTAGTAGTAATAATTTAATAACAACAACAACAACAATGACACGACAACACCTCCTGTGCAATTAACTGCCTCTGAAAACACTCTGGAGAGTTAGCTATGAACCAGTTTCGACTTAATGGTACTCACATCAACAGTACGTACTTAAGAAGCTCTGGTGGTGTAGCGCATAGAGTTGAACTAACTCAAAGGTCGAGTGTCTCCAGTGGTTCAAATCCCCCAGAAGCTCTGCAGGAGAAAGATGTGCAGTCTCCTTTGGTTGCCATTAACGATTGGAGGTTCTCTCTGAGTAAGAACTTCCTCCACAGAAGAGAGTACTAGAGAGTAATATTTACTTGTCAGCTGTATGCCATTCTCAATTCCCTTAACCTCTGTATTCTTTTTTTCCCTTCCCATTTGTAAAGTAGGATTATGATGGAGTTGTGTTGTTGACTGTGACTCACAGTGGTCCTGTGAACAGTGAATCTGTACTCTGAATCCTGTGTCATCCTTCTTAACTCTTGATACACTGGAGACCACTGTTATAATTACCATGTCCATCCATCTTGTTGAGGGTCTTCCTCTCTTATGCTGAACTTTCACCTTTCCAAGAATGATGTCCTTCTCCTAGGACTGGCCCCTACTAACAATATGTTCAAAGTCTGCTAGAGAAGTTTGACCTTCCTTGCCTCCAAGGAGCACCCTGGTTTCACTTTCTCCATGATAGACCAGCTTGTTCTCTTGGCAGTCCATGGGATATTCAGTACTCTGCTCCAGGACCACAACTCTTTTTCTTCTTCAGTTATCTCTACTTATTGTCCAACTTTCAGATGCATAGCAAGCAACTGAGAAGACCATGGCTTGGACCAGGTGCACCTTAGTCTTTTAATCTGACATTATTGTTCTTACTGTGAGAATTATACTTTTGCACAATGCACAGTGTAAGTGCTCAATAAGTGCAAGATATTTCTACAATTAAGACTATTCTCATGTGTTTATAGGTATATGTATGTAAAATGTTGTTATTGAGTGTGGTGCACTCAGAGTCATAGAGACACAGTAAAACGGCTTTTGATAGGATTTTCTAGGCTGTAATCTTTTCAGATGTGGAAAAGCCTAGGGTTTATCCATTACCTAATAGGCCTCTCCATATAATGTGAGAAACTAAGCCTACTGCCATGAAGTCATGCCAAGTGACTGCCCATGTGGTTTCTGGAGTTATATATCTTGATGGAACGATACTGACTGTCTTTGGCTGACGGACTCATGGATTTGAACTGCTGACTTTTCCATCAGCATGACAATACACAATGCACATCACAACACACAATGCCACCAGAGCTCCTTATGCCCCTGTCATCATTGTTATATGCCCTCGAGTCAACTGTGACTCATAGCGATCCTATGCATAATAGCTCTGAACTCTGCTCTGTCCTGAGTCAATCTCACTGTCTCTGACAAACCTACCCTCATTACCCCAGTCACTGTGTCAATCCATCTCATCCAGGATCTTTCTCTTCTGTGCTACCCCTCCACCCTTCCAAGCATGGTGTCCTTCACCAAGGACTGGTCCCTCCTGGCAACATGCCCAAAGTATGTGAGGTGGAGCCTCAAAATCCTTGCCTCCAAGAAACAGCTTGGTTTTATCTTCTCCAAGACATATCTGTTAATTCAATACTCTTCTCCAGCACCACAGTTTAAAGACATTAATTCTCCTTCTATCATCTATGGTCATTGTCCATATCTATGATACATTTCAGGTAATTGCTAAGACTATGGGCTGGATCAGGGGCACCTTAGTCTTTTGACTGACACTGTTGCTCTTCAGCACTCCAAAGAGGTCCCTGACCACAGATTTTCCAAATGCAATACGTCTTTTAATTTCTTTATTGCTGGTTCCAAGAATGTTGATTGTGGAACCTACCAAGCGGAAATTATTAACAATCTCAATCTCTTCTCTACCTATCACGGTGCCACCAATTGGCCCAGTGGTGAGAATTTTCATTTTCTTAATAATGAGCTTCAATCCATATTGAATACTACAACCCTTGACCTTCTGTATCAAGCGCTTCAGGTTCTTCTCAGTTTCAGCAAGCAAGGTTGTGTCATCTGCATAAGATAGGTTGTTGATGTGTCTTCCTCCAATCCGGATGCCACATTCCTCCTCATAATGTCCAGCTCTCCAGATGATCTGTTCCACATACTCTCTCTTGACAGGAGGCTTCAGCATTTCCCCTTCAGGCTGGTCTTTCCACTACCCAATCTACTTCCAACCATCCCATCTCTGCCAGGCTCTCTCCTGTCTATAATGCCACTCTTGTTGTTGTGGTGTACCTCTGAGTTGGAACTGACTAATAGCTCACCTTCCAGCAGGTTTTCTGAGGCAGTTTAATCACATGGGAGAAGATTGTCCATCCTTCTCCCATGAAACGGCTAGTGGCTTTGAACTGTGTGCCTTTGAGATTGCAGTGCAGCGTCCTGCCTCTAGGCCACCAGGCTCCTTATATTAAGATATATTCAAATATATTCTTATTAGTCTATTACAGAAGAATGAGATAAAAGTGTAATGCGATCAAACATATAGAAGTATGTATGCATAGATGATTAGCAATTTATTTGCTGCTGCTGTTGTTGAGTACTGTGGAATATGGGAACCAACCCATAGAGCTGACTTTCTGGTGGGTTTTTAGAGGCGGTTAATCACCTGGGAGGAGACTGCCCATCTTTCTCCCATGGCGCGGCTGGTGGATTTGAACCATGTGTATTCAGGATCTCAGCAAAGCTTCTTGCCACTAAGCCACCAGCACTCCCTCAAATTATTTTGGCTATATTTTATTTTTGATTATAATAAACTCAAAATAATTCCTAAATGTATGGATTTAAATTAGAGTTTGACACATGGGAGATAAATGTAACCTGGGTTGAGACTGTCCTGTGGAGAGGCTGCAGTGAGAGAGAGGGTGCCAGTGAAGCCTGAGTGAAGTGGCTAAAGAAGAATCCTAAGTCTCATAGTGTGTGCAGAAAAATAGAAAGGAAGGAGTATGCACTGATCACTTTGTGTGGCTTGGGGACTATTTTTTACATGATAATTTTAGTTTATCTTCTCAAATATATCAAATTGCTATTATTAATCCTCTTTCAGGTGTGGATATAGATAGTGAGATGTTAAGATCGCAAATCTTATAAGTGGTGGAATTAAGACAGCAAACCCAGGTTTGTCTGGTGTACGTATAAAAGTCAGGAATGTCTATGTAGGTTCTATAGTTTTAGGAATCAAGTTTTTCACGTGTTATACACAATTACATGGTGCTTCTTGTAGAGGGACAGAAAGATGATGGAAGAAGGATCTTAAGGATTGAATTATCCTTCCAAAATATACCTTGTCAGTCCTACTCCTGTCCATTTGTCTGTCAGTTTGTTGAACTGTGGTTGCTTGTGGGCTGCTGTGATGCTGCAAGCTGTGCCACTAATATTTCAAAAACCAGCAAGATCAACTGAGCCGGACAGGTGTCAGCAGAACTTTTAGACCAAGATCAACTAAGAAGCACCTGGTGACTGACTTAAAAAAAATAAATAATTGGTTGGTTAAAAGCTTATGGATAGTAGTGGAATGTTGTTGGATATAGAAGCTCATCTGAGCTTCTCAGGTGGAAGGAACACCAAGCACAACTAGAGAAAAACTTCCTGCTCGGTCCTCAGTGATGGGGTAAAATTTTTGGGACCTTCATCAGCTTATGTGCCATGACTATACAGGAGAAGAAACAGCTGCAAACATTCATTAAGGATTTGAACATGGAATGATGAAGTGTGACTCTAGGGGAATTGGATCCATAAAAAAGGAAATGGAACACATAAAGATCAACATCCTAAGCTCTACCAATTCACTACCATTGAGTCTATTTGGACTCTTAATAACCTAAAGGATAGTGTAGAACTACTGAGGACAGTTTCCAAAGCTATAAATCCTTAGGAGAGTGGACTGTTTCGCCTTTCTCCTACAAAGCAGACGGTAGGTTTGAACTACCAACCTTTAGATTAGCAGCTTAATGATTAACCCACTATACCATGACAGTTTCTTATCCTAGGCACTAGTGAGCTGACATGGACTGGTAATGGCCATTTTAAATTAGACAATTATATCATTTACTATGCCAGGAATAATAAATTAAAGAGGCATGGTGTTACATTCATCATCTAGATTTCCACATCTAATTTGAAGTATAGCTCTGTTGTTGTTATGTGCTGTTTGAGTTGGAACTGGTGCATAGCTGACCCTCCAGTGGGTTTTAAGAGGCAGCAAATTGTATGGGAGGAGATTGTCCATCTTTCTCCCACATAACAGCTTGTGGATAAGAACAACATGTCTTTGGGTTGACAGCAGAGCATCTCATCACCCTACAGCTGTTAATGATTGGATAATTATCTATATGTCTATAAGGAAGATCTGTTAAT